TTAGAAATGTGCAAAGGACAAAATATGTGTAAGCGGGTACCTGATTATTCAAAATTTCTTTAGGGAATATTCCAGCAAAAAAAGTGTGCCACCCACTGACACAGGACAGGTACCTTGCTGGGAAGGCTGCCTCGCCCGGCCTCAGGTGTCCTCACCTGAACCCATTCCCCACTGGACTTCCTAGAAATCTCAGACTCATCCTTTGTCTTCCCTCCACTACTTTTCCACCTACTGAGGCCCTGCAGAAAGGAGCTGTGAGATGGCTTGCAGGACGCCTCTTTAGGCTTTCCCCTGGCAACAACACTCTCCCTTGTCCTGGACCATAGCCAGAACCCAGAGCCTGCTGCTCCTGCCGTTACGCCCGCCCACCCCTTGGTACCTGTGCCTAAGTGCCCCTTGCTGTGCCTCATTCTGCCCGGTGGGAATGGCCCTCTCTTGTTAGTCCTCCCCTCTAAAGTCCCTTCTTTCAGAGACAGCTGAGTGTGTGATCACCACCATCCTGCAATTTTTATGGATTGTTTTGAGCATCTTGCATTGTTATATCATCAGATTGCAAATTCTAGGCAGGTAGAGGTACATGTTTATTTGTTCTTTTATCTCCTCATGCCACAAAGTACAGTATTGACCATAATAGATACTCAGTAAACATCCCAACTGATATTAAAAAGGAAAAAACAGATGGGGAGTCCTGGTGTTGAAACCTGGAACTGTGACACTTTGCTGTCTGATTTTGGGCGACCTGTGTAGTCTGGGTCTCTTGTTCCTTGGTTGGTATAGCATGGGAGATAGCAACAGGAAATAGTCATCAGATCACTGCCATGGGCCAAGTCATTAACATACCCAAAATTCTATGAGTTTGTCTTTTTTTAGATTCCACATATAAAAATATTTGGCCTTTTAAAAGGGATTGGCAGTCTGCTGCCAGGTTGAGTTAGGGAAACGCATGGCTCTAGTAAACAGTGAGACCGCAAGTGTTTCTGGCCACTTCTTGGCCTTGTAGAGGGGCCCCGGAAAATCAGCAGCCTGCAGAATGTTCCCTACTCATTTCCCCAATTGCCAAAGGCTCACAGTCTAGGAGCTGTGACCATGAATAGAAGGAGGTGTGTACTTGCATTTTTATTCTCTCTCTCTTTTTTTTGGTCATTTTTAATTGGTCTTAAAATCTTGCCTGGCCCCTTGCCTTCTGCACAGTCCAGAGTCATGAATCCTTGATACATGGCTCAAAAGAGAAGCATGGGACAGCATATTCCCTTTCTCTCTACCAATTTCCTGCCTGCGTTTCTGTTCTGGGACCAACATACAGACCATCCCAGCTCCGAGACAGCGCAGGCTCTGCTCTGCTCACTGTCCCATGTGTACGGCCTGGTTCCACGGTGAGAACCGTGTAGGAGGGACTCATGTGATCCGTGGCTTTTGGTGCTTCCTACAGGGTGAGGGTGGAGATTTCATTTGCAACTAATTGTACCCATCTGTTTTTAAAAGGTGACAGACATTCCTGAACTTAGGTGTCGATTCGTGCATTAATTACACTGATCTTAGTTGCGGCAGCCTGTTCTTAACGGCTGATGGCTGCAGCACCCAGTCTGTGATCTCAGAATGGGACGTGCATATTTTAATTTGAGAAATAGTTTAACATTTTTAGATATTCATTTAGATGTGGTTATGCAGGTTAAACATAACGTATGATCACTGCTTCTTTCATTGCTTCCAATTAAACCTTGCTTGTTAGTTTAACCTCTAGGTAATCCCATCAAACAATTGGTGTCAAGGAAACACTGCCCACAGTAGCTTTGGATGAGTGGCCATTAATTTTAATTGCCTTGATATTAAAGATTAAGAAGTATTGGGACTAGCAGAATAGAAACGATCTGATGTCAAGCAAATCCACTTGCTAAAGCTTCCCCAGGCTGCTGGTGATATTAAAATTTTACTGTGAGAATTAAATAAACCTTTATTAGTGATGACTGTTGTTTGATTGGTCCAGGGGTATGCATAAACACGGGATTCTTGCGTATCTAGAGATGAGACCCTTCAGTGGTACAGAGATTCCTCAATTATGAAACTGTTAATAAAGCTGTAATCTGATTTTCCAGGCTAGGTTTCATTAATGTATTATAGCTTCTCTGATTGTCAAGGTAATATTAACTACAAAGTACAGAATCCAACAGAGAATTGTTTAGAAGAGGAGAATTCTAAGATGGGCCTTTGTTGCTAAATTCAGAGTTGGGGAATTTTCATTAATTATACTTAAGAAATGCCATATTCCCTCTCAACCAGGAATATCTCCCTTTGCACTGCAGATATATTCAATATTTAACTCTTTCAAAGGCCTGCTGGTCTTATTCAGACGAACTAGAGGGATGTATGTTGAAGGAGCTTTTTGAGAACGGGCTCTCTCGTTCTGTCTCCTGAGCTGAGAATGTGCTTATGAAACATGAGGTAGGGTCTGAGGGAACTTGCTTTAATGAGCATAATCAGAACGGATACCTTTATGGTCCTTTTTCAATTTTGAGTCAAAACTTTTGTTTTTAGAGTCCTAGAATTCTGGTATGGGACTGGATCCTAAGGGTCACTGAGGCTAACTTCTGGTGCAGAAATCCCTTCCAGAGCATCTGTCTCCACGTTCTTGGAGGCCTGGGCTCCACAGCAGCATCATCTCTGGCTTCTCCTTCTCACTTGACCTCTTCAGCTGGTCCTTGGCAAATTCCGCCAATGCATCCCCCATGATAGCTGCCCTCTCCATAACTATTGCTCTGCCTGGTTCCGGTCCTCATTGCCTCCTCACCTGTATACTCTCCTGGCTTTTCCTCCCACTGCCACATCCTATTTGATGCTCATATGCTCCTGCCCCAAGCATATGGGGCTCAAAGAAGGGAGGGCAAAGAAGGCCAATGGCCTAGTGGGGTTCAGTCTCCCGGGGCTGTTTGAAAACCTGATATTATCACCATCGAGGTGTTGGAACTAAGGATGATGATGAGAAATGAGAGTGAACGAGATCTTAGTTCCTAATAGAGAACTGAATATCCTTTAGAATCATCCAACGGTGGAATCAGGGACTTTGTGAGATAGGAAGTACCCTGTCTCTAGAGGTTGAGATGCTGTAAACACAAGAGAACACAGAAGGAGGTGCAGGTTTAGAGGACACATGAATTCCATTTTAGACCTCTTGAGTTGGAGATTGTCACAAAACATTTATATGTTAACATCTTTACAATCAAGAATTGAAATTCTTCATACAAGTTAGGCCTAGAGATGGAAATCTGGGAGCCAGCCACACAGTGACAATGATTGAAATCATTAATATGGATAAGATTGCTCAAGGAGAAGAGAAAAGAGTTGAGTTATGGCCAAGAGCTGAGTTGTGGAGAACACACACACACACACACACACACACACACACACACACACAAACATACAGCATATCAGACACTGCTGAAAGATCAAAGGAGGAGAGAGAAAAGGCCATTGGATTTGGGATAGGTGTTATGCTGTATAACCACCTTTGTCAGCCACCCAGCCCAGGGATGCAGAGGGCTCTGCGTAATGCTTGGCGCAGAGGAGGTAGTCATCGAATGATAGTTATTATAACCACTACTATTTGATACAAAGGCAGGAAGTGACATATACAGTCCATAAACGGTGTGGGGGGTAGAAATAATAGTGTAACAGGAGCAGCTAGGAAGTCCTGATCTCCAGCATATTTACTTCCTGATGCGTTTTGGCTCGTATCTGTCTGACGAACCTATGCTCATGGTTGTCACAGGAATCCTAGCAAGTGTGCCTGCCTGTGTATGTGTGCGTTCCCCAGTATGAGACAGCATGTGAGCAGCGGCAAGGCCAACATTGTCTTCCTCACGTGGCTTCCTTGCCAGGGTTCTCTGGCTCCTTCTGGAAGGATGAGTGCCATAGGTTGAAGAATGAGAGTTCTATTTCCAAGGCAATTAAACTCTTGGCAGAGAAGGTCAATAAGCATGCCCACTGGTGTAAGTTGGGTTGGAAGGCTCATACGACTCCTTATTTTTCCTCAGGGCCTGTGCATAGCTGTTCAGAATAAAACAGTGACCCACCCAGCCTGATACCACAGCAGTATGCCCTTTTGGCAGATTATTAAGAAATTATTAAAGAGTATTTTTAAACTGTTACTTTAGCAAAAGGGAGCTCAGAGCCTTTTATATAGCAGGTAGGTACCTTTTTATAACCTGCTGTGTGGGTTTTGTTTCTTTATCTAGCTCAGCTATAGGTGCCTGAACACGTTACGTAACTATGAGCAGTGAGTCTTGGGCTGAAGTTTTGCTGTCAGTGAAATGTGATGAAATCTTCCTGTCGCCAAGTTCCTCTTTAGAAAGCTCTTCCACTTGCATGGGCTGACGTCATAAGTAGTGTGTAAAAGACACAAGTATATTCCACCTGATGAAATCAGAGCTGCTCCCCAGTATTTGCATTTGACCTTATTGGAATTACTTGAATTTCAAGTTGTGACCTTCTCATGTGGTAACTGGCCGAGCTTGAGCAGCCATCTTGGCAGACACACAGAACCTTCTAAGACAGGAGACAAAGGGGTCGTTCATCCATTATTAATTGATGTTACTTTTTTCAGCAGACCAAACACGATTCTACTGTCCAACTGCCAAAATCATTCCAGACCCAAAAGCAAGAAGTCATTCCTTCACAAAAATTTGTTATTTACCTAACTTAACAAATGTTCCCTTTGGTTTTTTCAGCTCCTTTTTAGGGGGACTGAACACTTAAATACCGATCGGTATATACCAACTGAATACTTTTTATGAACAGTGCTCCTGTCCTTTTTAATGTGACTGTGGCTAACTCCAAGAAGTGGTGTTACTCTGAGTGTCGAGGTTTGCGGAAAGCAAAAGCGAACCTCGAAAACCAGGGTGTAAGTTAAAAACGGAGTGTTTCCCAAGGTGTCCTCTTGGTGTCCAATGGGTATTGCTGGAAGGTTGACCTCTCTTCCCCTTTACTCATGTCCCTGCGATTTGTAGGTATCCAACTGGTTTGGCAACAAACGAATCAGGTACAAGAAGAATATCGGCAAGTTTCAGGAAGAAGCCAACCTCTATGCCGCAAAGACTGCCGTGACGGCCGCACACGCAGTCGCCGCCGCCGTTCAGAACAACCAGACCAATTCGCCGACCACGCCAAATTCTGGTGCGTACTGGCCACTCGCTCCCTCCTTGGCTCAGGCAGCCTTGTGCCACAAAACCCGGTCCCACAGGCCAGGACACAGCAGCCCTACTGAGGACCCAGTGGAGTTATAAAGGAAGATTTCTATTAAAACGAGGGCTTATTCTAGGGCCGGGCGAATAAGTGGATGGCCAGAGTCCATAAACCCACTGTTCATAACAAGTGCTACTCGCTACTGGTAGATTCTGGAACCTTTATTTACACCTCATGGTGGTTTTTAATTCAGCAGTTATGCGGAGTGCTAGCATTAATAAATATTTTAACTATATTCTTCCATGTATCATTTTAAGGTCCATAGTGGTTTGTCAAAGAATGAAGGAGATAGCAGAAGTGGGAAGGTGACCTGGTGCTGTGCGTAATGAAGCTAAAATGTTGGGGTACAGATGTGCTTCCTACCTAACACAGCTGCAGACTCCAGCCTGCGGCCCTTCTTGGCATTTCTTTAGCATCTGTGCTGACTTGGTAGGTGATGAGCCATGAGGGGTGCAGTGCCTCACACACGGATGCAGTGTCCACAATATCGTGGTACATTTGGGCCACATTTTATGTGACGTCCATGATGGAGTTAGAAACATCTATACATGACAGGGAACTTGGGCAACCGTGAACGGTGTGTAGCCAGTCCAGGCAGATGGACTTGGGGAGCAATTCAAGGCACTTTTCTAAGGAGATCTTTTAAATATATCTTTAAAAGCTCAGAAAGCGAAGGGTTATTATTTCCTTGTTTTGTTTTCTTTCTCCCACCCTCTCCCCCATCACCTCCCTCGCCCCAGACCCCTCACCCCCTGTTCTTTTTAATGAAACTTGAACAGATGAAATTTAGGTAGAAGGTGTATGGCTAAGAAAGAGCTTCAGAAAAGTGTTTCTTCTCCACATGACTGTCCACCATGACAGTTAATGACGGTGAAGAACTCACTTAATGACCAAATCCTAGAGAGAAATGCAAACAAGGGGGCGGCCTGGGGCCGGCTGCTGGGTGTTTTTCTGTTTGCTTCCATCTCCTCTTTGTTTCTTATTTGGGCTTCCCCATTGGTAGGACTTTCCTAGCTGCAAAATGAACCGCAGGACCTACCTCTTTGGAGTTACCCTCCATCTTCTTAGATCTGGAAATGCTTTATGTTGTACACAACCTTTCCCTTCTGCACCTTTTCTCCTCTCCCTGCCTCTAGGTCTTTGAGGATTATGTGTGTAGCTCTCTGTTATTCAGCTACTTAACTCTTTCCTTTCCAGGTTCTTCTGGTTCTTTTAACCTCCCAAATTCTGGGGACATGTTCATGAACATGCAGAGTCTGAATGGGGATTCTTACCAAGGGTCCCAAGTCGGAGCCAATGTGCAATCACAGGTAGGAGAAATGCCCCAACTGGGGCCTTTCTGGCAGGGTAGGGTTTGGGCTCAAAACTCCATACTCTTAGCCCCGTGGAAGTGGTCTGCACATCCATGCAGAACCTGTGCTGGGTGCTTCCAAATGGGACCCATCTGCCCCACCATTTAATTTAACGAGAAGTCAGGTGAACAGTGACTTTTAATGATTCAAACCTGATAAACTTTGTGAATGCATTCGGCTCTGGCTTGAGCTCATGGAGAGGGTTGGGTGCATCTTACTTTTGTAACAACAGCAACAACAACAAATTGTGTGTGCCAGCGTATGTGTGGTTTAAAAATATATCACTCTTTCATTTCTGAAAATTTTAAAGTCAGAATTAAAAAAGCCCTTGAGTTCTTAAAGTATATTTTCTCATCCTCTTAATCAAGAGCAACTACTTGTGTGTGTGTGTTTGGGTGTGCAGCCCATGCATGTGTGTGTGCGCATGCGTCTGTGTGAGAGAGAGAGAGATCCAGTATACATATTTATAAGTAGTTTGCACCCATAGCCACGCACATTTTGCTGAAGATGTAGATGGAAAGTTTGCATTGCCACGAAGGTGTTATTGTTGGGCTGCCATGAAAAACAAAGATGTGTGAGTTTAAATATGCAAAGAATTGCTGAAATTCTGCCAGTCACATTTGATTGATAAATTTGTCTTTCATTGAAGATGCTAAACCCTCATGGCACACATAATTCAAATTGTTTCCTTTTGTAAATGATGATGTTTTAATAGATTTGGGATGATGAATTTTGTTTCGTGTCACTTCTAGGTGGATACCCTCCGTCATGTTATCAATCAGACGGGAGGCTACAGTGATGGTCTTGGAGGAAATTCACTGTACAGTCCACATAATTTAAATGTGAGTACCCTGGGGGACCAGATTCGAAGAGCTGTAGGAGCAGCACCAGGTAAACAGTGACTAATAAATAAATGAATGGCCATTTGACTTGGCTTCTCATCTTGTTCGCAGGTGGGGAAGGCAGCATTTTTGCTGTACCTTTGTTTTATGAACGCAAACACTTAATGTTACCCAGATGCCCTTAGAAGTCCTCACAAATGCCCCAAGTGGCGGCAGGCGTTCTGTCGTCAGTAGAGAACTCACACGTCAGCCCGTTAAGATGCCGTCTCCTACTGGCTGTGCTGTAGGGAGATGGTGGAAAGCAGGTCATTTATCTTCAAATCAAGCAGCAAGAAACATTCCCACACAAAGCCCACATGAAGGGGACAGACTTGAAGGGCCCCAGACCAAGCTAAACAAAAAATTCTGTTCTTAAGAGCAAGCTGGCTGCATTGTCGATGTGGGATAGAAAACATGTTCGGCACTTTTAGTGGCACTTTTAGTTGCCTCTTTTTTTTTTTTTTATGGAGGAAATCATTTTATCTTGTGTAACAAATTCACCAAAACTTTACTTTTACCCTATACCGACATGGATGGAAAATGGCAGAATGCACAGGTGTGGAAAGGGAGCTGGGGTAGGGAGGCGGTGGTTGGGTATCAGGCTGGAGCTGGGGAGGGCAGGAGCGGACAGAACCTGGGATTCCAGACTTCGGGAGGAAACGAACTGCTCAAAGCCTGGTGGTAGAGTCAGGAGGAAAGTGGACAAAATTCTCCCTTTTTAGGGCCTTCGCTTGCTGTGAGAGTAAATATTAATGATTGAAAAAGTGATTGAGGATGTTCAATTGTAAAGGGAAGAAAGGACCATTAAATACTCAAATCTTTTACATTTGAAATGTCAAATCTTTCTTTTTGGGTTTATAAATAACTCATAATAACCCACAACAAACCATATAAAAAGCCTTTTAGTTGCATTTCTCCTTTTTCATTTAAGTGTTTTGAAATGCTTCAGAGAATGTGCGATATCCTTATCAACATGATAAAATATGAAACTGTGATTGCCTGCAGCATTTTAGAGACATGAATTCCATCTTCACTGATGAGGCTTGATAAGGCGCTGTTGTATAATACACTGCATAATCTCAAACCACCAGAGGAAGGATTAATTTATTTTGAAAAAAAGAATGCTTGCTGACAACCTCTCCTCCAGCTGCCACGCTGGGTAAAAATATTGTACATTTGTTGTTTATAAATTTGGATAAAAGAGGAATGATGTTTACTTCAGATGGAATATCTTCAGACTTGTATCTGTGTAAGAGTTTTTCTTTTTCTAAGTAGATTTTTCATACCTGAGGGGCAAAAACAGCTTACCGTTTAGAGAAGAGGATGGCTTAGAGTCCCACCAACACACGTGCGCGTGTCACCGTCCAGCCTGCACAACCGAGGCTTTGGAAATGCATCGCCTTGGTGTTACCTTTTTCCTGGCCGGAATCTGATAGGCCTCGAGCCCGGGAAATCCTTTTCCCTTTGGCTCTGCTCTTTTCTGCCTCGTTGCTACCCGCCTCCCCTCCCTTGCTCTTGGTCCTGGAGGCGGGAAAGGTGCCTTCCGTGCAGCAGGGTGCAATCAGAAGACAGGGCACTCTCCAAGGACAGTGACCCTGGGAGAAAGGGACGGACCCACCGGGCCCACCGAGCACAAGGCTCACCTAGAAGCCCGTCCCAGGCTGGGCGGGGACCCCGGGTGGAGTTCTCTCGGGGCCCAGTGGCACAGGCCTCAAAGAAGCCTTTTTGGGTGGACTCACGGGAGAAGTCGCAGACGGAGGCAAAAGAGGAAAGAGGCAGGGGGGCCTCGTGACCCACCCCAGCACTGGCGTGGGAGGTCCGGGTCTGGGGACAGCACCGCGGGAGGCGGGTCTGAGCCGCAGGCACTGGTGGCAGCCCGCTCCCCCTCGCCTTCTTCTCTCCAGAAAGGCCCGCCCCGTCACTTCCACTCAGTGTTCCCCAACTCACGGGCCCAGCACCTCCCTCTTCTTGACTGACATAAAAATATGTAGCGACAAGCTGTCTGCCACAGCAGAAATCTGATCAGACATTGATTTCAGCAATTGCCTCTATGGGCCGAGACAGAAGGCGAATTTGTTTCTGAGCACTGTTACCGCGACGCAGGTCCGAGGCAGGAAGGGCCGGCGGCACGTGAGCAGCCGTAGCAACCTCCCGGAGAGGCGCTCCAGTTAGAGATAATTGGAATACAGATTTGAATAGTGGGCCCCTCCGCAGTTCATGCATTTTCATTCCGGAAGATGCTATTTGGAGGGAAATTCTGGCCTTCATTTTCCAAGGGTTACAGTAGCTGGCTGTCAGGCGTGCGTGGAAAGGGGAGGGGGGCAACCTCTTCTCTTTGGAAACGAGGATTAAGCCGGGCTGAAGTTTATACTTCGTGGAGCCCAAGGTCTGGCGGAGGCACTGCATCGAGCTTCTCCACTGCTCCCTTTCGAAAAGATTTCTCTCCGAGTCACTTTATTTTTTACAGCCAATCAAAGGCCAAGCCGCACGCCAGCTTGAGGCTCGCCGAGGCCCTCCTTCAGCGAGCTGATTTATTGCCAAGACTTTACTTGGTGGGATGGATTTGCTTTACATGCATTTAATCCCACTTTAACACATGCTTCAAACTCCTGCCAAAGTGGGTTTAGAAAATACATTTTGCTAATGTAGCTTTGCTCTCACGTTGTCATCTGGGTATTTGAAATTGGGGAGGAGAATTAATCTGGAGACGTGCACCCGTTGAACTGCGATTCTCCTTTCAGGCTAATGGAGGCTGGCAGGACGCAACAACTCCATCTTCTGTGACTTCCCCTACAGAAGGCCCAGGAAGCGTGCACTCGGATACCTCTAACTAACTTCCGGCAACACTTCTCCCTGAGCTGACATGCCTCGATAAGTGCGTTCAGAGCAATAGGAGGAAAAGGAAAGCGTTTTTGTAGCCCACCGTCTACAGCTTTACTGTAAAACCTTGTCTTATTAGAGAACTTGGTAAATCAGTTTTTTAAGGAATCATAATCATTTGTATTTATACTTAAAAACACACAATGTTAAAAAAGCACTTTATCCAATTAGGCCAAGATTTAACATTGTTGACAGTCCTGTAGCTATTTTATCATAATTTATTATCGATATTTTACATTAATGGTCTCACAGTTGCCAATTACTTGGCCTTAAGGGTAAAAAGTACAATATATGCTAAACCTCAATCGTTAAAGCAGATGCAAAGATTCACCTCACCTAAATTGACTTTCTCGCATATTTCCATCGCAGACTTTGATTGTCTTTCTTTCATATCGCTAATGGGGTTAGAATAAAGGAGCTGTTTGGCTATCTCTGTTAACGATGGTTTGTTTAAGAATCTTCCTGGTCACGTTTGTGTTTCGATCTCTTATGTTATAATTAGATCAGAGACTGGTAGCATCTTTTCTCTCTCTGGAAGCACCAGTGCCCAGAGTCTGCTCGGTAATTAAATTATGGATCCAGATTGTTCTGGGGGATGAAGACGCTTGCTGCTGATAGAGGTGAACACGAGACCTGTCTGGGGTTGTACGGTGTGCGCTGGGTGCTGCACGGGCTTGTCAAGGTTTGCTCGGTCCTCTGGGCATCGGCAGGGGCCCTGCTCTCTGGAGTGTTGTATATAGTGTAGCAAAAGAGTATTTATACATCTCACCAATCAAAACACAGCTTGATTACCTCATGCGAACTCATACAAACCAATAGAATTTCAACATGTTCTGTAGCTTAGAGTGCTCACTTACTACCTCTGAACAATACTCACGCTGTAGTTCGTCTCTTTCTTACCTTTTTGCATCTTGTAATTAACTCTTTGTTTCCCTTCATAAAATGTAATTGTACATTGTAATCTTTTAAAAGAAAAAAAAAATCAGGGTTGCATTTGCAACCTTTAAAAAACCGAGTGTGGAAACATTGGGTCTTCAATGAACACGGGATCAGTAGAACTGTTGTAAATACTGAGAAAGCATTTTGAATGTCCTTCATCTTGTTACTAATCCATGCAAAAAAGAAAAAAAGGAAAAAAAGCAGCGCCGATCGTGATGCATTCAGAGTCCAGTATTCGGTACTGTACACTTTACCCTGCGCGCTGGGGCCCCCTCTCCTTCCTCTCTTTTTGTATTGTATGCGATTCTGAAACTGATTGAGTCATGAAAATAATTTGTGGCGGTGATTCTAATGTATTAAAAATGTTTCGTGTTCCTTTCTAACTGGATTACACCCTGGATTGAAAAAGTCTTCCTCGTGGTAGCTCTATGTAGTTTCAAACATGAATAAACTTTTTGCTTTCATGATTAAATGTTGCTGTGTCTTAACTCCACCGCCACGGGAGCGGGCCGGGGCGGGTCCAGCTGTCCCGGTCACAGAGGGACTTGGAAATGACAGGGAAGCAGGGACTGGAGGACGAGCCCTTACCGACCAACGGCTCTCTCTGGGTGCGCTCCTGACTGGCTCATGGACCGCTGTGGCATGTCCTCCCCTGATCCCTGCGTTCTAAGAATGCCACAAGGAAGCTATTCGTCCCCCTGGCAGAGATTAGGAAAGTAAAGCTCATAAAAGTTAAGCGAATGCCGCAAAGTCACAGAGTTGGGACAACAAGGGGCCATGCTTTGAACCCAGGTGTCTCTGCCCCAGGAGCTCACATTCTCCTGACCTGATGATGCCCCTGGCACTTGTTTGATGGAAAAGACCTTTTCTGTCATTTATTAAAACAATAACTAGTCTCGTCAACCTCATTTCAGGGCTTCCGTGAGATACCAGTTAAGAACAAGCAAGAGTTCCTCTGAAAAGAGTGAGCCTCAGATAGCTACGGAAAAAAACCCCAAAGCTTCACACCCTCTCTAAGTATTCCCTTTAAAATTCTAGACTGATAAAATGTTAGGCCAACAAGAAAGACTTTAATTAGATTAAGCATTGTTTTTGTTTTACTAAAATAGCCAGGAGTCCCATATGTTTACATACACCTCTGTCGTGAATATCTAAATCTTTACCATAAAAGAAGTGGAGAGCAGGTAATTGGCCTGTTTACTATATCTCAAGGAAACTGACTCACAGGAAATCAGATTAATGTTAATCAGCTGCAGCAAATTGTCTATGATAAATACAACTTTTACTATTTCAGTTGGTAGAGCCAAGCAAAACAAGGTCTAGGGCCACCATTCCCATTAATCTTGCAGTTATACCGCGAGAGTAAACTTTACAGAATAGATCGCCCTCCAAAGCTGTCCTCCTTCATGTGGGCTCTCAGCCTGCCTGTAGGAATCTCTCCTGTGGCTAAGTAGTTATTTGCATGATTCAATTAGCTTATGGGTCAGCCTTTCTTATCTTTGTACATAAAACAATCTCCAGGCTATGTGGTTTTGCAAAAATATCCTGTGGAAATCTGACACTTGTGCACACAAATACGTCTTCTTTAATATCCAGAAACACACACTTCCTAAGAAGTGTATCTCAGTTTTCATGTCAGGCCAGCCGGTTGAGAGAGGCACATAGCAGCGCTTGTCGGAGGTTCTCGAGCAGACAAATGGCCTTGAAGGAAGATCGGTGAGCCTGAGGCTTGATTCTGGGAAGGCCTGGATTAAGATCCCAGTCTCTTTCCTACGTCCTGGGTGGGGAGCCCTCACGTTTCCCCTCTTTGCTCTTCTCTAGGGGGACAGAAGCATCCTTACTTCATAGGGAAGGAAATTGGGCCATGGCGTGGGCCCCAAGTTTCTTACGTTTCACACTCCAGATTGGGTGAAATATATTCATCTCGTGGATTTTCATCAGACCACCTTTTCTTGGTCAAGCAATGGGTTAAGGGCTGTACCCAGAGATGAATGAAATCAGGCCCTAGCCCTTGAGAAGCCAAGACCCTGGGCCTGCGCCTGGTTCAGATAGCAAACACTCGTGCAGGTATCGGAAAGGATGGTAGGTTTCTGAACCCCAAGAGTTGAGAAATGAGGATCCCACAATCCATTCACAAGATCAAAGGAAATAACAGCCATCAATCACGGAAAATCACACCCCATGACAGGCTAAGGGGCCTGTCCACGCATATAATACAGTAAGATGCACACGGGCACAGGCGTGCTCAGGGGAGCCTACATGTATGTTCATGAGTTTCTGGAGCCTAAATGAGCAGCTAATGTGGCACATGGATCAGCCTCGTGCACAGCTGCGCATGAGCAGTGTGGCCGTGCAGACTAGGTTAGAACAACCCTGTAACCCCGTACTGGGCAGCCTCCTGTGCCATTCCCTGGCCAGAAGCGGAGGCGGGAGAGGCAGTGTTCCAGAGCGGCGCCCTTCTGGTGTGGATGGGTCTCCCACGTGCAGTGGTGTTTTACGTGTGAAATGTGCGTCGGCGCCAGGAGCAAGGTGCCTTCTTGGGGCTGACAGCTGCGATTTCTTGAGCACCTCCTGCGGACCGGCCCTGGGCCAGGTGCTTTGTGTACAGCATCTTATTTAATGCCCACAGAGCCCCACGTGCTCGGACTCTGAGGCTCCGAGAGGTAACACCACCTGTCCGTGATCTCCCACAGAGCTGGAGGTGGCCCCTCCCAGCAGCCGCTTGCTGCGGGCTGGAGAGGGGCTCCTGTGAACCTGGGCCACCAACCTCCCGGGGGGGTTCCCTTCTGGGGGACAAGGAGAGTCATCCCCCATCACCCATCAGAGCTTGCAAGTCTGCCATCGGTGCCTCTGTTGCCCAGACCACCTGACTATGTGTGTCCTGTAGTGTGTACAAGATGTGTGTCGCAGGCTCCGTGTGGTCCTGTCCATTTCTACCGGTCACAGGGTTGGGCACAAGGGACAGGAAGAGCCACGTACTGGGGCTTGGCCGGGCCTGGCACCGTAACTAATGGAGGCAAGTGGACCTGGGAGGGCAGCTGTCATGATGAATGAGAAGTGCTGAGCACAGGGCCTGGGGCACGTGTCCTGCATGTACTTTGTTACGGGCAGAGTCCTACCTGGGCCCCGTGGGTGAGCGCAGGTCCCAGGCGCTGTGCCCTTAGCCCCAGCCCCCGGCCACTGAGCCCACTGCCCACCAGCCATTCAGTGTGAGCAGATCTCCAACCTACCCTGGGTCTGCCTCCTGATTCCTGGCTCTGCCTCCCGCCAGCTGTGTGACCTTGGACATGGGACGTCACCTCTTGAGCCTGAGTTTCCTTGTTCTCTCTTCTTGGAACGTTGTTCCCGTACCGTCTCCCTGATGAATGCCCGTCCTTTAAGGCTGAACCCAGACCTCTGCGCCCTCTGACAGAGCCAGACTGTGCAGCCCCTTCTGGACGTCCAGGGAGGACCTCAGGAAGAGAGGATTAGGACAGGGCAAGGGGGTTAGAGGGGTAGCTTCAGGGAAGGGCAGACCAGGCCAGGGACAAGGCTGTGCAGAGAGCAGGGGCACAGCAAGCAGAACTGTCAGAGAAGCCGCACGGATGCTTGCTCGCTCCCTTCCCAGGCTCACTCTCCAAACCCTCACAGCAGCCTCGTCCTGCTATCACCTCCGCTTTATAAAAACGGAAACTGAAGCCACTTGGCCAAAGACACACAGAGCCGGAACATGAGTCTGCGTGGGTCTGAAGCCAAAACTCCCATTTTTAACGCTTTGTGCCTGACTGGCTTATCAAAGTGTCTCTTTCTAACACAACGGACAGTCACCGTTGGTGAGCCCGACTTGGGACCTGAGTAGAGACCTCCTCAGGCGTACCACCACCCCCATCAGAGCCATGGGCTCCTGTCCCCAGCAACCTGGGATCCCAGGGACACCTTCAGGAAGACTACTGAGTCCACAAGCCCCTCAGGACAACAAATGGCCAGCACTTCCTCCCCGCCGGACCTGGGGACCCAACCACCTCTCAGCTCTGAGATGTCCCCTGTCACAGACTCAGCCGATTTGCACGGAGCCTGCTTCCAGCTGCGCCCCGCCCAGTGCACTGCCAGGAGCCACACCTCACAGCCCAGGGGCTCCTGGCCCCGTCACAGGGACAGAAATGGATGCCGGGGGTTCAATGTGGCCCCATGGCTAGGAAAGCCCCAGGGCTGAGCACCCATGAACGTGGGCTCCGAGTGAAACTGCCTGTGGTTGAGTCCGGCTCTGCCTCATACCGGCTGCATGTCCTTGGGCAAGTCGTGCAACCTCCCTGTGCCTCAGTTTCCTTAGCTGTCAAGCACCTGCCTCCCAGCATTGACGGGAAGATAGAGCTGGCTGGTGCAGCAAAGGGCCCTGCGGGGACCAGAGGCCGTGGCCAGCTGTTCTTTCCTATCCCGTCCCGTGATCTGCGCTCGCACTCTGGTTGCTGTCCCACTTCACTCACTGCTGATAAAACCGAGGTCTTCTGAGACCCGAGATCATGCATGTCCTTCAAGGCCGCGTGTTGTTGTGTGAAGAGCTGGGGCCCCAGGGTCAGGCTAAATCCTGCCACTTACCCGCTGTGTGTGACCGCGGGCACAGCACCTCCTCACTCTACTGTGTGGCCTCGATTTCCTCACCTGTAAAATGGGGAGCTGTTCCTCCCTTCCTCCTAGGGCTGGCATAAAGATTAATGAGCTGATGCACGCATGGCAATTGGGATAGAGTGGCTTCTCTTCTTTCTATTGTTATTATGATAGTGCCCCCGATCAGAAGGGGACACCAGTCTCTGGCCCTTCTGGTTGGAATGACTACTTCCGGTCAGCAGACGGGTCGTCAGGGGGGTGTCAGCTGCCACGTGGGGTCCCTAGGAGAGGCCCAGCCTCTTCAACCCACTCCCTCTGCCCTGCTCACCCCCCTCTGCCCTCAAGCCTGGACAGAGGCCTTGGCCTCACCTCTCACCACCATCTCAGGAGAGAATAAAAGGCTGATTCCCTTTTCCTGGTAAAATTTCAGCAGAAAGTGTACGCATCATTAAATATGGAAATCCAGAATTTTATTAGCAATCTGCTAGATCTGAACGGACGCCAATTAAACAAAAAAGATATCATTTATAAAAAGGCAGAGTTCAACTTGTATTAAATATGAAATGCAATTTTCTCCTGCTTTTGATTTATTACTGGTGGTCCATTGTTCAAAGAAGCATGTTATATTTCAATAGAGAAATATTGTTTATTCATTAATATTTTAAAACGGGCTTATTGCTGTGCATGGCTCTCACCGAATGAAACTTATGATTTAAAACATGAATTAATAAACACATTTGAAAGTGTTAGACGAGATCACAACCTCTCATTTTTCATTTTCCTGGGAGCATATTAAATTTTTATAATTCTG